TCCGTGTAAGCTTCCCTTATTCGTCGCTAAAGATTGGATAATGGTGTTTGTTTAAATCAGAGAGATATGGCAAAATCAGGGATTTTGAGCGTTCTCTTTTCACTTCTGGTGATAGCCCAAGAGGGTCGCGGTCAATCGCTCACTGGTAAGCCGCAAGTTTTGAAGACATGGAACAGCGTTCGTCTAAGCTTAACCTTATTTACATCAGCATAGAGTACTGAATTAGCTGTAAAAGGTGCACGCCCTTTCTCATAGAATTTTATTTCTTCGATCAACCTTAATTGCTCCATTTTTCTTATATCTGTCGCATTTAAGCCACTATGGAAGGAAATGTATGTGTCATGGTGAGCATCTTTCCGTCGTTAAGCAGTAAAAGGCTTGGGTTTTCCTTTACTGAAAATCGGTAGTGGACAACTCAAGGCAGTTGTTGATTCGTACTTCGAGATTTTTTGCATATCAGGGAATTAGCAGTTTTCAAAGGGATTCTACATAAATGTTAGTGTGTAGTTTCTAGGCAGCTAGTTCCGGCCATAAGTTATGTAAACTATGACTTGGTGTCTTCTAATTGGACATTGGGTAAATTCGCGATTTTACATGACTGTCCTTGTCTGTTATGTTTGATAAAAGCTTATGGCATATCTTCCATAAATCCTGTGTGAATATAGCATATAAATGAAGTTTAAGGAAGGTATGATACAGTTTCAATTAAAGAAAGTTAAGGGAATTTGGCTATCTCACCCAGAATATTTTTCAAGTAAACTTTCCAAGTGAATTTGCCTTTCAAATGTTGTTCCTTGCAGTGGATTCACTTGACCCAGAGAATTAGCAAATTGTGTCAACAAACTAGTATTCTTTTAAAGTCAAACTGATGTTGCAAAACAACATATGAATAACCACATTACAGCATTTTAATTAAAGCCTGAAATATTCCCCTCAAGTTAATGCTGTGAGAATTCATGGCCTTTGAATTGAATTCGCAAATTTATAGCACTGAAGCTGTAAGATCTATGCAGTCAAAAGCTTCAATGTACTATAATTTTTGTTGTTGACCTTGAAGCTGGAGTTACTATGTACATCAATTTGCCTTATTTCTATGCAAATAAGTTCTTTTTAAGCAGCAAACATTTTCCCACCTAATAATTTTTTGTTACTATTTAAGTGTTCTATCTTTTCATTCCTACTTTTTGTTTAAAACTAAGTATAGATCCAGAACAAAATTAAGAGGTTTTTTCACATTGACTATAAAATTTACATGGATTGTTTACACTCTGAACTTGGTTTTTTAGATGATGATAAAAAATTAATAAAGAACATGTCAGGTTGAGCATCGGGTGTTCTAATGAACTTTGCCTTCACTGTTGTGACATATACTGTAAGTCATTATTCAGTCCTGATAAATTTTTCATTTATTACAGAAATGTCAAAAGACAGTATAACCTGTTACAGCTGTATGTTACCATCATCGTGGGGTATTTTAATTTTGACTTCTAGAACTTTGGACTGGGCCTGCAATTCTTTTGGTTTCTAAAACAAAAAAAATTATTTTTAGCAATACATTTCAGTATGTCAATGATGATCTTTCTTTTAGCCTGTGAGCAAGCTCTACCCAGAGCACTCAGGAGAGCTTGCTAGATGGCTATCCTTCTTTCTCTAATGACACACTGACAAAATGATTCTTTCTTCAAAAATGAAGATAATATTATTTTTATTAGTGCGAAATAATTTGCAATATTTTTCCCTGGTAAGTGAGGTACTATTTTACTATCTTCAATTAAAATGATTTTATTGCAAAACTTTTAGTATGATTGCGCAGTGGCTCACAGTATGACTCACAGTATGCCAGTTTTGCATTATGTATAATATTCTTTCATGTAGATATTTGCAGTCATGAAAAAAAAGTTTTCAACTGTGTTTCACTCAAATCTTTATGGTAATTAAAGAAAGACACATCTAAGTGATATTTTTTACCTTGCAGCTGGAGTTAATGAAATTTCTTACAAAGAACAGCAAGGATGTATTTAAAGTGTCCATATTTTTCTGGGAGGGGTGGGGTGGGGCTTATGAGGCTACATTCTCTAACAAAATAAGGAGTCCACGGGTTTTGAAGCTTGCCCAGCATGTAAGTCTGAGTGTACAAAAAGCTGGACCGTCCAGTCTCCTGAAGGGAAAAGCATGTCACTATGGGCCACCAGGGTACAGCCCAGAGTGGACTGTATGCCTTAGCATCTCATTGTTGCATAGCTGTTGGACACTCAATGTTAACAGTCACAGCATTAAAAGACAGCTGTTTCATC